GCTGGTATAAATGTAGGCATTATGTTTGTGACCTGTAAGACAAGTGATTTTACCATGGAAACCTTATGTTGAGGAGTTTGCACAAACTACAACGCCGACGGCAATGAGAACGCCACCCCCTCCCCCTGAAAAAAGAATGAATGCAACCCCGAGCCCAGGCTCTCTCGGAGAAGGAGCCTGGGATCGAGGTTGGACTGATGAACAGGTCCAGGTTGCTAGAAAGGTGGATAACGCTAACTACCGGATAAATCACTATTCAGCGGATAGCGTCGTTTGATTTGTTGACACGTATCCACCGGATAGCGATTTCTCCGGTGGATAGCATTATCCAGCCTTCGAACAACTGGGGCCTGAGCAACAGACTCTGCACGTGCGTTATAGATCTTGGTACATTCCTTAACCGTCCTATATGTTCACAACAACGCGAAATGATGAAGTTCTGTGTTTTCCGAGAACGTGAACCACGAGTATAAAGTTAAGCTCAGAATATGGTTCTAGTACCGGTAGACTTGAGAAACGTTACATTCTTAGGTAAAATACAAGTTAGCAGTATTTCATTACTTTATGATGCTTTTTTTAGATGAGAACGTTTACAATTTCTTTTAGATCTGGGATGGAGTCAGTAACAAATGCATTGCAACATTTCCTCAAGCACACAATGGTGCCGAGGTAGGTGGGGAAATTTAGTGCAATCTTGAGTAGTTCTCGAGACAAAATAATTATTGTCTGGCGTTTTTGCTCATAAATTATGTCAAGATGTAAATAATTTGTGATCCATGCTCTCAGTTCGATTTATTTATTAATCATTCATTCAGTTTTTCACGGAGTGAATTGGTTGGTAGGTTGCTCAGCCTGTCAGACAGACAGTCGCACATCACAGACAATTGTCTTTTTTTCCACTGTCATTCGCTCATTTTTCGTTATCATGTGTGTTCCTCCCTCAGGTTTATTCTGTGTGCTTTTCTCAGAACGCAAAGGTAGGTCCATGAATATCTCACTTCACTTAGTATTATTATTTTTTTTAATGACTATTGTCATCCGAGCTCCTCGCCCCCGCCCCACCCGCCACTTTATCTCCTCCCCACCCTCACCTCACCACTTGTCAAACGGATGTGATTTTGTGCAAACATGTTTCGTTCAGAGAGTTATTCTCATCTCTACTCACTGTTTGTTTCGCAGTATATTGTATCGAGTGGAAAAGATTCCCTGGTGTTCTTATGGGAACTATCGACAGGTAAAATTGACATCAATTTAACCGTTATCTTGTAGTTTCCTGCAAAGTCTTCGTGCAGGACAACAGGTGTAGTGGTCGCGGTATTAAGCACTTAACGACTGCCCCGCGGGAAACAGTGACTTTTGTCAATACCTCCCAACCCAAAAATAGAAAAACAAAAACTGGGGAAAAAAAAAACTGGGGAAAAATCGTTTGCTTGAGGCCGGCTGGCACACAAATTTGGCGCGGTTTCAAGGAGCACGATTTGGTCACGTGCGAGTCGAAAGTTCAAGTTGTTGTTTCCCTAGGGAGTTAGTGAGTTTGACTCATAACGCGTGACACGTTTTCCTTCAATCGGAAAACGTATTTGAGTTGGGAGGTATAACAAACTGTTTTTCATTCCTAGGAAATTTAACGCCTGTAAACCCCCTTTATTAACACTGCAAGTCTCGGATTACAATTGCGTTCGTATGATTTTGAAATAGTTTCTGTTATGATGGTATTCTAATCTGTTATACAAGCTAGTGAAACCAAAGCCATAATATAACCAATTACAACGCTGATAAAAAAAAAAAGCTGTAATAAACAAATCAGAACTCTCGACATTGAAAACCGCAGGAATAAACGTTACATTGGATCCGACATAGTTTATTTGATCTGTCTATAGGAAACACAGCCAAAGGTGGAACCCTCTGCTGGTACACCTAGTTTGAAAGAGATTTCTTGTTTTTTCCTTCTTAGGCAGAGCATTGAGCATGTACACGGGAGCGACCATGTCGAACTACAGAACACAGATTGTCTTCAACCATACTGAGGATTTCTGTGAGTTAATTATTAGCGCCAAAGAGCTGTCGTGAGACCAGAACCAAAGCAGTCATAATATCTAAACGTAAACAACACAATGAACCAATGAGAGCTCGCGCGTAACTTTACGCATAGAGCGGGAAAACTTTTGGCGATCAAGCCGGGATTGTCTTTCGTTTGACATCTGACTGGTCAAGTAGCTAGGTGGCGCGAATTTTCTAACCAATCACAGGGCGTGGGAAGGAAACCGGCAAAAGACAATTACGGATTACTTATAGTGTTCTAAATATACAGTGATACACTAAGGTAAATTAGTTCACTGATCAACTTCCTAATGATGTATCTATAAACTAACCGCAAAATCTTTTTTTCAACAGTAATCGTCGCAGATGAATCGAACAACAGCATAGCATGCTGGGACACGAGAACAACGGAAAAGCAAAAGCTTCTTAATTCAGGTATGAAAATGAGTACGTTTTTCTTTACAACCACCTAATGCTATGGGTTGCTACAAGAAGAGTTCTGTTTCAACTGGTTCACATTTTCGTCTGTTTTTTTTTCTGCAGGTCACAACAATCACATTCGTTGTATCACCCACTCCCCCATGGGAGCGGCTTTTGTCTCATGTAGTGACGACTTCAGAGCAAGATTTTGGTACTGTCAGGGAGTGTAGAGCTGTTCCTCCTGAATCTGTTTTATCTTTTCAACTCCACACCACCGCTGCAATGAGGGCCATGGAAAGTTAAAGAAAAAAGTTTCAAACCTGAGCTGAGGATATTTTTTTGTACAAGGTGACTCCACAGACGCCGTTTAAGTCACGATCTCGACACGTGCTACTTCTAAATTTTGAAATTCTAAATGCCAACAGGACAAGTCGCCATTTTGGATTTCATCTTTGGATGACCCCGTGAGGTATCTCACACAGTTGTCACGTCAAAATAGGAAAGGCACCAATTACGTTTGCCCTCCACATTGTACGTTGTCTAGGGATTTAGAACAATAAAACATTAACTAACTCAATTTTCCTGGTGTCGTTTTGTGGACACCTCGTCCCAGCCTATGTTACAGCCGTGACCGTCCTCCCCGAAAGAAAAAAAAATCGGTCTTAAATAGGGTAAGGGTTTTGGGAAGTGGGCCGCACACCCCCACCCAATTTTTCTGGAAGTACTCCCCGGCCCTTCGTGCCAACATTTATATCTTTGGCTGAAAATGTGGGAGACCGGGTCCTCAAATAGCCTGAAATGCCATGCACCCAAGGGAGTGCGGTGCGATACAAAATAACAACAACAGCACATCTCTTGTTTGGATTTCAAGGAACGCTTCTACGAGCGTTGCGTGACGCTAAAAGAGTGTAGTGCGGGAAATTCGACCCTATTCATTAATAGGGTTTTGTCGCTTGTCTGGAGCCTGTCGGAATTTTCACTCGAACACACTTCCTTCTAAAGAGTATAAGCGCGTTAACCTCACTCAAGGACTGTAAATGGAAATTCAGCAAAAAGTGCGCAAAATTTCGCAGTTGTAAAAAAGCAACCGCAGACGTCTCAGGCACAGAAAAGCAATTCAAAACCGTCTTATATTTTAAAATTCGTGTTTGCTCGAGGAAAATGTCTGTATTTCCGAGTTCGAAAAAATAAGAAAATAAATATACTTGAAACTGTAAAACTCTGGGATGACGCGAGCTGTTTTTTGTTTCATTCGAGTACGCAGAACTTACCATCTGCTAACTTTAATATTCTCCCAAACCGAGTATAGAGGACACGTTTTATAACTACAGTCGACCTCGGTTTTTTTCGAACTCAAAACCATTCCCCTTGAATTTCCTTTTACAGTCATTTACTATCGGCTATTTTAAACTACATGTATTTTTATTAGAGGTTGAACTGTAATGTAATACAAACTGCTATTTATGCTGGTCCAGTGAAGGTATCAGGAATAAACAGAGAAGCACGCTAGTTTTATTGACAGGGTGACAGTCATATTTTTCCTGAGATAAACTCCACATCCTGTCTATAGGCTTGGGTTTCCATAATTTATACTTTCAAATTGTTTTTGTCAACACATTTTTCTTTTCCGAAGCGGACGCCAAATTTCAATTTTTAAGGCATTCCATGGGATCGAAATCCACCAATTACAACCTTACGTATTGACCTTTGACCTCTACGACTGCAACAATTGTGGCAAATTAACCAATCAGAGAACGGAAATTTCGATCCTCACGAAATCTGATACGTTCCAATTTTAGCTATAAATAATGCATACATAATCGAAGTTACTACTATTCGATCTAGTCTATTGAGGAGAATTTTAGGCCTTTATTTAAGAAGTATTGCTGAATCTACGTTGGTTGAACGATGGCGCCAAAAGTTTCTAGTAAAGTGAAAAGAGAGAAGAAGGCTGGCAAGTCGAAACCTAGTGCTGGTACTGAGGGCGACAAGAGGAAGAGAAAAGTCAGAAGAAAGGAAACTTTCTCGACCTACATTTACAAGGTTCTGAAGCAGGTTCATCCAGATACTGGTATCTCCAGTAAAGCCATGGGCATCATGAACTCGTTCGTCAACGATATCTTCGACCGCGTCGCGAGCGAAGCTTCCCGTTTAACAAAATACGCCAAGAGGACGACCATGAGCTCCCGCGAGATCCAGACCGCCATCAGGCTACTTCTGCCCGGTGAACTGGCCAAACATGCCGTGAGTGAAGGAACCAAGGCCGTGACCAAGTACACCAGCAGCAAGTGAGGCGATTTTCCCGCCAACAAAACAAACGGCTCTTTTAGGAGCCACCACATCGGTCTAAAGTCTTTGACCAATAAAATTGAAATATCATCTCATCCGAAACGCCCTTGTAGCATGTTCGAAAATTGTACAATTTGGCGACAATGTAAATTTGAGTTGTTGTCTTGAGTTGTAGCATAACTGTGTTATTACATTACTCAAATTTGAAGTGTTATCAGCGTATAAAATGTTTTGACAGAACTTCGCCAAGTTTAATATCACACTAAGTTAGTCACGCAATCAGCGCAGTGTGACACCTTTGATATCACAAACTTATGAAAAGCTACCTGCCCGCACATTGTTCGCCACCTCGTTACATGGGCATTTTCCTGCCCCTATTAAACTGGGTTGTTTCTGGCATAGAACTATTAAAGTAGTATTTCATGAAAACAGCGAGGAAAACTCAAAGCTAGGCCTAAAACAAAGCTATGAATATTTCTAAATATCCCCTAACATATCCGGACATTTGTGGAAAAGTCAACTGAAAATTCACCCCAGCCTCTCAAAGGAAAATATTGCTGCCTCTTTCACCTTAGACTTAAAGTCTTCTCTAACGAGGGCATCCTTTTCATCGTAGCTGCTTTGGGAATTTGTTTGAGATGAAATTTCGCAACCCTGTGGTTCCTATGGACTAAGTTACTCTCAACCTGAGAAGAATTCAGTCACAAGGGCTCGAAAGATTCTGAAGATCTTCATTGAATACTGATCAAATCAGGCAAGCATATGAAGGGAGTGTAGTATAAAGAAAGGCTGTGCTTGCAGGGTGCAAATCATGTCTCCATATCCACAAACTGCAAAGTTTCTTTAATTATAATTTGTTTAGTCTATTTATTCTCACTGGTAATACCAGTGTGTTTGGATGAAATTTTACTTAAATTCTTAAAAACATTTGGAAATTTCGGGAAAACGTGTTACAGTGCGACTAGCACTACTCGAACCGGGCCACGTAGAAAAGAATTAACCTGGAATCAACCAGTCAGAACGTTACTTGAGAACAAAGGATAGCAATCTTTTTCTCAAATAAACCAATAACATTGAAGAATACGAACAAGAGTTCTTAACAAAATTGAAAACCTAACAAAAGTGCGAGGTGTTGTGAATCTCTCAGCAAACTTTGCCATTTGTTGATAGGTCAGTTTCGATCCTACATTTTGTACGCTTTTCAACAGTTTCGGATTTGTGTCCCCCCACATTTGTTGTAGCAAGCTTATTTGTTCGAGCAAGGTCTTTAATTATGATAATCCGCCGTCAAGGACAGAATCTGTAAGGGCCTGATTACATGGCGAATTTCAACCCGGGCTGAAATTTCAGCCCGGCTAGCGGGGGCTGAAATTTTGTTGCGATTACATAACGAATTTCACCCCGGGCTGAAACATTAGCCTCGGCGACAAATATGAAATTGTGTGCGAAAAGTCTCCAGAGAATCAAAATGGCGCCGAGAACACGAATCGTGAAAATAGGCGCATTGCTTCTCTCGTAGTTTGACCTTTTGTTGGTGCTCAATTTTTATCTTTTTGGGATAGTAACACCCTACAATGATGATGGAACTGAAACGAAACCTGTCTCTCAGCCACAAAGACGTACTTTTATAGAAAGAAAATATGTCCTCAAGCTTGCCGAGTTCATGGCTTCCCTGACTGCCTCGTGCTGTTTAACGTTGTCTCAATGTTCTTATATTCCATCTGGGCTTTGAAATTAGAGAGATTCTCTATTTAATCGCCTTTATTCCACTGAGATCGCTTCTACTTCGTAGCGGCAGCCATCTTATTTCCTGCTTTTCAGCCCGGTTTGAAATTCCGTTTCGATTACATGGGATTTTTTCAGACTTTTCAGTCCGTTTGCCCGGGCTGAAAATCCTAGCCCGGTTTCAGCCCGTGCTGAATTGCGGCCCGGGCTGAATCCTTCTTCATGTAATTGCTAATTTGATTTCATGAGAATTTGTTTCAGAAGCCGGGCTGAAATTTCAGTCCGGCTAACCAGGCTGAAATTCCAGCCCGGGCTGAAATTCGCCACGTAATCAGGCCCTAAGAGTGTATACAACGCAGAGGAGCTGATAGTGTTTATTTTTTCACGTCAAACAGATCGTTGTTTGTCGTTATATTTACCAGACGCTACCAGTCCATTGTTCTCAGTTTGAGTTCTGATTGCTTAGTTTTCTTATCGGTGGCCCGGTTCGAGAAGTCGCACCGTAACAAAGTCCTCTAAATATAATAACTATTCTTAACCTATTCTTGGACAGATAAAACAAACCATAAAACAGATCAAATGATTTATTCATCAGTTTGGAACCGATAAATTCGGCTATTGTCAAACAGATCTTAAGAACAAACAATAAAACTTTTCAACTGAAACCAGTTAGCCCACAGCTAAATAAATATAAGAGGTAATTGAACTTGTATTCTCAGCTGGTTTGCTGTCCTTTAGGGCTTAATTGCTTCAAACACGAAGTCCACGAGAAACAACGAAACACCCATCCCAAGTAGGCGTCCCAGCTGTAGAAACATGTAACCGATACTAGTCGCCAGGCCCTCCTCGTGACTCTTACCCCGCTGCCCTGGGGCCAGAAGCATCAGGGCGGCACATATTCCGTAGCCAGTGACAAATCCGAACAGACCAACAGTAAGATAGGCTACCCAATCAGCTTGCAGTCCGCTAACCGCACAAGGCTCGAAGTAGATAAGTAGAATCGGAACGGCTGTAACCAGCTGCACTAGGCAATTGCAGAGAATCGTTTTCTTGTTGTAGAGGATCCCGAAGATCGGTAAGGTTTTCCCAACTGCAGTTGCTACCGAGTAACAGCCGAAGACGATGACGATGAACCAGCCTGTCTTGTCGCTAGACTGCGAGCCTCTAGTCGAAGAAACCACAGTGGAAGTGTTAAAAATATTAGACGAGTTGGAGAGATGGTTAGTGACGAAAGTGCAGTTGTAATTTCCGTGAAACTGCGAAGCAATGCCCGGAAACAAGGCACAGGCGATGGCCAATGCCACTGAGATTGCTGTGAGTGCAGCCCAGTTATTCCTGATGATCTCCCTACGAGAGACGTTGCCGAATTCGTCACTTGTCAGTAACGGTTGGTTCTCGTTGTCCTCGGCGTCTTCTAAGCTTTCCCTATCAGTGACATTAAAACGTTTAGCGTGCGTTGATTGGGGGACGTGGGCTCGCAGAATGGAAATCAAACAACATGCTACGAGAATTGTCAGATCCACTAAGGCTACAAACAAATAGCCGCTGAGGCGAAAACCATTATCCTTGTCTTCGACATATTGAAAGGATCCCTTCGAGATACAGCGAATGATGAAAGTCGCTGCAAATGCGAACACACCGCCAGACTGTGCTGCGTGGACTCCAAACTTCGGAAAATGCTTTCCAGCGAAGCTGTAAAGGGCTCCACCGCCGACATTTTGAACGACGGTCGCAACGAAGATTACGGCTAACACCAAACCAAACCGAGCTGGTGTGGATAAGATGCCGGTGTCAAGAGGTGTAATGACTACCACTGCGACCAGCAAAATTACCGAGGCAGTCAGTGTGAAGAGTAGTACAGTTAAATGACTCGATTTGGGTGGGAAGGTGACCATCAGCAACGCTCCAACACTCGCCGCAACTCCGACCGTGACACCAACGTACACCTCGGGCTTGTAGTTGTCAGGGAAAAAGTAGTTGAAATAATCAACGGCGTTGTAACTGAAAAACGTGGCGCTTTGTACGGAGGCACCAAGAAACCAGCATGTCAGGTAGAGCTTCCAAGGAATTGCCATCGACGTTCAATTGTTGGTCTGGTTTGGCCTGCACAACAGTTCAATCTGAAAGAACGTGGAAAACGTAGTAAATGGGTGGTTTCTTTTTTTGGCCGGCCACTCTCGTCCCCAGAGGCTGCGCTCCTTTAGGTCGGCACTCTGGCCAAACCCGATTTTCTGAGCATGCGCAGAGCATTCGGCTCGTATTCACAGCCAATCAGATTTGTCAGATTTCACGGGAGGTCCGTGAATTGCGGACTTCCGGTGTTGGAGCAGCCCAGAGGTCACGATTCTTGGTGCTGACCAAAAGGAGCGCGGCCTCCGGGGACGAGAATGTTGACCGGCTAGTTGGCTGTTCATGGGCAGAAGAAGAGAGAAGACAGTTATGAAAGAGAATCCAACTAAGTGCATGGCAGTCTCCTTAAAAGTGGTCCGCTGCAACCCAGGTCGGAAAATAGTTTTGCTTTAGATCCAGGGGCACCCAACGACCGTTTTCTCTCGAATGCTTTTAAACGCTGTTTTAGGCTGTCTGGAGTACTTTTAAAGCTCTGTAGGTTAATTTTAGGTTGCG